AGCACTGGAACAGGCTGCCCAGGGAGGCTGTGGAGTCTCCTTCTCTGGAGATATTCAAGCCCCGCCTGGACAAGGTCCTGTGCAGCCTGCTCTGGGTGACCCTGCTTGGGCAGGGGGTTGGGCTGGGTGACCCACAGAGGTCCCTTCCAACCCCTACTATTCTGTGATTCTGTGATTCCCTACTCGAGCACAACCAGACAGCCTTACCCTGCCTAATTCTAAGCAGCCCAGTTACAGAACCAGATTTAGCGGGGTTCTGTCCATGAAACACATTTAACTCACTCCACGCCTCTCCGAAAAAGCAAAAGCAAATTTATTCCACGTCACCTGTGTCTTGCTGCCGACGGATGCTGCGCGGCTGCGTTTCAGAGGGGTGTGCATCTTCCCTCTGCTCCCGCACTGATCTTCAGCCAGCTCACACTCATTACGCTGTGCTTGAAGCCTACTTCAGAAAGAACTCTGCCTGCTGTCTGAAGTTAATTTTTTCCCCTTCGGTCAACCGACTCAAAATTGGGTTTGCATATTAAAATGAAATTTAATTTCTAGGCCATTACCCCACTGCGGTCTAGCTCCTGTGCCTGCAAAATGAAGAGTAAACAAACAGACCTAGCAATTCATTTCCCTCTCAGACACGAATTCCAGTTATAAACAATAACAACAACATTCTGCAGAGGCACAGAGCCCCTTCCATTTCGGGATCTCAGCCCACGCCACAGAGAGCAGCCACAGCCTCGGGACTCCTGACGACACCGAGTCACTCGCGCGCAGAGCTGGCACGCAGACCTGCGACTTGTTTTCTTGCACGGCCTGCGAAAGCTTCTCTCGGATTTGCCCTCCGTTTCTCACTGACATAGCGGGTTTCCTACCATTTCTCACGTTGGCTCTTCACAAGCTACCGGGTTTTCCTTCCCCCTCTCCAGCAGAGTCCAGATAGAGAGATACACAAAATACATGGCTTTGAGACCTGAGAGCTTGCAGCATCCAACTCTGCAACAGCTATGAAAAAAAAAAGGAAAAAAAAACCCCCACACAGCAACCCCCCTTTCTATTTTTCCGTTTACTCTCTCTACTCTTCATTTTTGAGAGCAAGAAGCCCTGCATCGTTTTCAACCCGCGCAGGCTGAAGCATGCGTCTGCGTCCATCCGCAGGGCACTCGGGCTGACGACCGCGTTCCACCCAGACCCCATCCACACCCTCTTCCTCTCGGAGCACGGAAATCCCACGGGAAGCGCCCAAAAGGAAACCCAACCAGCTGCCAACACCCAGTGCTCGCACAGAGACACAGAGATTGGGGCTGCTTGCTTGTCTTGCCTAC